AGAAGAAGAAGAAGAAGAAGAAGAAGAAGAAGAAGAAGAAGAAGAAAAAGAAGAAACAGCTGGAGAGGAGTCCAGGAAAGGGAGGAGATAGTGTTCAGCACAGACCAGCATCTGCAACAGTTCGGGATATTGGCAGAGCAACTGAAAGAGTTAACTTTGTGAAGAGATGCTACATGTGTAGTTCTACTGAGCATTTTCAGAGATGCTGTCCTGAGAGGAGGAACAGAGCAGCAGTGAGACAAGGGCGTGGATCTAATCATTGTTTTCCCTGGCAGTATCAACAACTGAACACACCAGAAATACATGATTGTTGGACAGTGGGGCAAGTCAGAATATTGTTAATGATCCACATGTATTTGAAACCAGCAAGGCAAGCGTGGGTTAGTCTGGCGCATGGACAGAGAGCTTCTGTAAAAAGGGAAGGTAATGTGTATGAACCAGAAATAGATGCTACATTGTACAATGTGTTATATGTACCTGCCTTAGAGCACAATTTGTTGAGTATATCCATGTTAGACAGGCAGGGTCATGAAATAGTATTTGCTGGGGGACTTTATATAAATAAGCAAAATGGACGTATGTGCAAAATGGACAAGTATGGTCTATATGTTCTGGGAATGCAAGAAAATAGTTGTACACGTGTACTTAAGAATACATGACAATTGTATATACCTGTTACATAGAAGATTGGGGCATACACGTTTTAACGTATTGAAAACGGTGCTTGACATAACTGAGGGACTGAAATTAAACAAATGTAATGTATATTTGGATTGCACTGTGTATAAGGAATCAAAAGCTAAAATGTATCCTGTAAAAAAGAAGAGTGCAAGAACTACAAACAGGGTATTACAATTCGTTCTTGCTTATTTATTAGTCCTATGACACCCTCTTAAGGAGGAGCGAGATATGCCTTGATCATAATAGACGATTATAGTAGATATGGATATTGTTATTTACTCAAAGATAAAACTGAAGTATTGCAACAATTCAGAAAATGGGGAACACTTGTAGAACAACAGTATGGATGTAAGGCATGCCAGTTTTAAACAGACAGGGGAGTAGAGTTTATGTCTGAGAGGTTTCAAAGGTGGTTAAGCAGTCTACGCATAAGGCATAGAAAAGTGAATCCATATTCACCTCCGGAAAATGGAGTGGCTGAACAGAGGAATGACAAGACAAGAAAAGATGCATTAATTGCTGATGCAGGTATGAGTAAAGCATACTGGGGAGAAACCATAAAGACAGCAAATTATATCGTTAATAGTTTATGAAGTGAGGCACTACAGGTGACGCCATATTTCTTGATGCATGAAAGGAAACTATCTTTAATTCATTTAAGAAAGTTTGGTAGTTATGCCTGGGTGTATATCCCAAAAGCTACTAGGAGAAAAAGTCAGACAAAGGCCAGAGAGCTTCGGTTTGTTGAATATGAGCCAGAAACAAAGGGGTATAGGTTTACAGATGCTTTTAAGCGAGTAGTGATCTCAAGATCTGCCATTTTTGCCGAACAGAGCAACTGGAACAAGATACATGTTAATCATGAGGTGTTCATGCCAATACAGAGTTCTAATCTGTTGGAAGATGAGACCAGTCAGATAGGGATGCAGAAGAGGAAAGAACTATGATAAAATGTGAAAGAACAGATGACATAAACGTAGAAGAGGAGAGCTGGAAACAATGACACAGAAACACATAATTCCACAAAGATTTGAGAGGTGTTACAAAGGTGTACCTCCTGAACGGTTTACTGTGAGTGAGATCACAGCATGCAATGTTAGGTAATGAACCCCATTGTATGAGGAAATTGTAGCTTTTACCCACAGTATGTGAAATTACTGAAAGATTTTATGTAAATGTTAACGTAATGTAATGAATGTGAATGTAAAATATGCTGTACCAGTATTTGAAGACAATGCTGAATGTATAACAATGATGACAGAAGATTGCATCAGAAATAGAAGTAAACATATAGACATTAAATACTGTAACGTGAGAGAAGCTGTAAAGGAGAAACTGATTAGATTACAGCATTGTTCCAGCAATTGTAATATAGTTTATATGTTAACAAATACTTGTTTGTTAGAGAAGTATAAAGTACAGATTTGGATTATCACTGTACAGCTTTAAATGGGAGAAGTGTCAAGGTAATGAGGATTTAATGGCTGCCAACTGATGCAAGGTTGTAATCTGTAAACTGATGCAATGTAATGTGGTTGATGCAATGAGGCTGATTCATTGCAGCTATGGTATAATATATTTTTCGGAGTATAAGACACACATTTTTCCCTCAAAAAAGAGGCTGAAAATCTGGGTGCATCTTATACACTGAATGCAGCATTTTTTTCCTCCTGAAACCCCACCCCTTCACCAAAATGGCCATGCAGAGCCTTTAGGAGGCTTTCAGAGTGCTCCTGGGGAGGGCAAAAATGAGCGAAAAATCCTGTATTTGCCTTTTTTGCTCATTTTTGGGTGGGTCACTCCCCCCCCCCAGGAGCACTCTACAAGCCTCCTAAAGGCATTCATGCCCTTTTTTTGGAGAAAAAAACCGGGCCCGTTTTCATGAAAAATGGGCCATTTTTGGGAGGTCTAGAGAATGCAAAAACTTTTTCTTTTAAATTTCCCTCTTCAAAATCTTGGTGCGTCTTATACTCTGTTGCGTCTTATATTCCGAAAATATGATAATCCTTTTACGATTCGGATGGGAGGTCCACACACACACACACACACACACACACACACACACACACACACACACACACACACAGGTGGTCATTAGAGGACATTTATCTCTCTCATCATGTATCCCTCCTTGTGTTCGTAGTAGTAAGGGATTTTTAACTCCATATTTATGTCTGTATATTTGTGTATATAAACCACTATTAATTGTCTAGACGCTCTGTGTGCTGTGTGCTGTTTTGCTCCTGGGTTTATTTCATAACAATAGTCACGCTGCCAAAACCCTGACAATTTATATTCATAATTTATCCTTATCAGTTTTAATTATTCTATCATAGTAACACTTCTATTATTAAACCAGTATGAATATTTGTATATAAGAGAGAGAAACAGTTAGAGAAAATAATTCAGGCTGAATCAGTGGTCTCATTCTTATACAGTAGCCTTAAAGATTTTAGGACATGCAAGTAAGTTTCAATCTCAGGCACCCTTCAAATTTCTGAAACTGTTTAATACAGCTAGACCAGTCTCAGCAAATAGCATCTTTTTTGACTGGCAGCAGCTCTCCAGGGTTTGAAACAGGGGTTATTCACAACTCAACAATGGACTGTGATTATTTTAAATGGAGTTATATCTTGCATGAATGTATGTGGTCGGCCTCATGCAGCCTCTCCAGAAGATATCATCAGTGATTAATTTATTTCAAATGCCACCCACTTATAAACTCTTGTAGACATTTGCTATTTTACAATTCAGCTTTTAATATTTCACACCATGTTACCTCTAAATTGTAATTTCAAATTAAATTCAGCTAGCTGAAATTCATCCAAAATTGGCTTCTAAAATATATTAGAAATAGGAAGATTTCTCAGACATAGACTCGAAGAACTTCAAAGAAAGCCAGTAATTTAAATTATTTCCTGGTACATTGTTGTTTAAAAATAGTATGTATTAATTGGGAATAAATGTATATTATAGTAATAGATAATTTCAAATGATTTTAATGCTAATTAATCAAATACAAAAAATACTTACAGTATTTCAAAGAATTCAAAGCAGGGGCTGAATCTGAAATAAAAACATGACATTGTAAATTGAACAATAAATATATTAAAAGGCAATCTTTGACAATACTTTAGAAATTAAAGAAATTCTGATTATTAACAAACTAGTTTCCACCAATTATTCCCTGTTTTTATAATAACTATACTTCAGAACACCCGTTATCTACATTGCAATGTTTTACAGTATCAACATTAGTTTTATTAAGTATAATTAATTTCAAAATTATATGCTTCAACTAATGTGCAAGGGAAAAATGTTTCAAAACAATACTGGAATACTTAGGCTGCAATCTAAAACTGAATAAAGGCCAATTTGAAGTTCATAATAAATGGTTACAATTGCTATTCTATTGGCATAGAGATCACTTACTGGAATATTTTTTATGCCCTCCAGAATTCTTATGGCACACAGGAAGAAAACAGTATTGAGAATGCTATTTGGATTTAGGTAGAATAACATTTCTTTTGTTCTTCTGTTTAGTTTTTTTGGTTCCTATGTTGGCTGCTAGCAATTGTCTGGATAAGCCCCTACAGGTTTTTTTGGCAAGGATTTTCAGAAATAGTTTTCCACTGCTTCCTTCCTAGAGATGAGCGAGAGTGATTGTCCCAAAATGGCTTTGTATCTATAGTCTGGTCTCTGTCATAATTAATTAAATTAAAATATTACAAATTCATAGTTTAGCAAGCTATCATGGGAAATGCTTTTCACCAGATTGAGAAAACTACAGATCAGCTGAAATACACTGTTGCTTCCTACTTCAATTCCACCAATTCTCTCTGAGTAAATTAATATCACCGAAACTTTACATTTTCCAAGCAATTAAAAATTGTTACAGCAAGAAACCACATTAATAATTCATTTTCTCTCTCAACTTTTGAAAGCAGGTTTTTAACAAAACATAAAAACTTTTAACAAAACAAAATAATGCAAAACTGCCTGTAAAACAAGAAAATACAGCATATCTCCTAAATGTCTGTATAATAGCTAATGAATGTTATTATTATTCTAGTTTTATCATTAACATTATATGGGGTTTTGATTTTTAGATTTCTGCATGATGAAGATTGCTAGATAAATGGTTACATGTTATCATTATTTTATAAGATTTATTAACCAGTAATGTAGGATGACTGCCTATTTATTTATTTTTTAATTTGCTTTTTCTCAATTAACTCAAAGCATGAGCCACTATATTTCTTCATACTTTATCTTCATGTTATGAAATCATACAGTGAATGAACCATTCAGTAAGCTTCATAGCAGAATGGAGATTTGAACCATGGTCTACCCAGCTCTAAACTTTTTTTAAAAAGTTATTTGTATCTCTACCCCATTTTCACTATTTTAGCATAAACTATACAATGAAAAGATATCCCTGAGAAGAGAACTTGGTAGGCACTTCCAAATTCCCATGAGATAAGTAGCAATAGACTTGATATAAATATAAAAAAATGAAGTTGCTTAAAATATGTGAATAGAATTTTATAGTATTTGCATTTTCAAGTATTATTACAATCAATAGACCAGAGCTAAGAACAAGCAATAAAGATAAAATGCAGACCCACTTAATGACTTTAACCTCATTATTTCCAATGTAAAATAATCTATAAATATATATTAAATTTTACAAAATACTTTTATTAAAGATCATAATATTTATAGTAAGAATTGCATCTTCACATAATGTCTTTGTGACTGAAACTTAGGCTATAATATAGATGTAAGTAAGCCCATTAATTTCAATAGTAAAACACTCTTTATGCTAACACTGGTATTGCCATCTAATATAGACAGCTATCTCAAATAATTGTATCATTGATTGGCAAATAGGAGTCTGATAGGCAAATATGACTGAAGAAAAGAAAAAAAAAGCAGAATGTCAGGGTTCCAAGTAGCACCCCTAATGAAAAACAACTCCAAGGCTTGAGGTTCCTTTTATCTTATTGGAGATGTCATATTGGCACATCTGGGAAAACCCGAATCTGAGAGCTTCCAGGTTTTCCCCACCCAGTTGAAATTTCAAGACCTTATCCCCACACCACATGTCCATAGCTCAGTCCAATTAGACTCCAGTCACTCCCATGCAGATGCAGGGGCAAATTGTCCTTGACTCCCTGAGAAAAAATTGTTGTTATGGCTATACATCCACCAAGCTCCATACCATCCCCCTTCCCAGTTTCCTACAGCTTCAATTGTGGCAGGTCTGAAAAGCCCAATTCAAAATATGGCTTCCAGGCCAGACACAGAAGAGAGAATAAAACACAAAAAGGACCTTATGCTTATTGAATGAATGTTTCCTGAAGGGCGCTCATTGCTTTTGATTGAGAAACGCTCCAGGAGGAACTTAGGAAACTAGTAGATAGAACATTTCCAGACAATGAGTGACCAGAAATTTTGCTGGAAAAAACAAGAAAGATTCATTCTCTATCTATCTCTCTTCCTCCCCGCCATTCATCTGATGAATATAAAAGCCAAGACAATTCTTCTGATGCCCTAGAAATATTTGTTTCATTTATTACCCTCCTTGACAATATAGTGCCCATGATAAAAATTATACATGCTACAATGGCTGGCTGGAATAGAAAATGAAGACAACAGAGACAAAGGAATCTATATTTTGACTTATTATGGACAATGAGGGATTCATGGATTAGACACAGGAATTATTTGCTAAGGAACACTACGAACTAGACTCATAGAAGATAAAACAAAGCTAGGTGAGGGGCAGAGATCTAGATAACTAAAACCCAAGAATCCCATTATTATTTTTTTACTTTAAAGCTTCCTAATGTATTCCATAGCATCCCCGGGTAATGTTTCTGGATCCATGGATGAAGTGAAATGGGTCCTAGAAAATATTGTTAGCAATAAGACTGCAGAGAGGATGGCATATCAACTAAATGTAGTTTATAATCAAGGATAGAAAACTGTTCTGGCCCCCTGGTCTGTGAATAAACCAGAACACAGGCTTGGCTGTTTGCCACTGTTCAATTACTGAGATAACGAATCCTTTGGCTGAGGGCCCAGGCAACTCACGTTCAATAGAGTAGCTTTGCAGCAACCCAGATAGTTCAAATGAAGCAACGCAGATAATCCAAACGAACAGACATGGCTAGAATACAGATTTCATCAATACCAGTTCGAACGGTTGTTTCCTGCAAATGTCCCCTCCCAACACCTCACTTATAAACTCTCTTGGGAGGGGCCAATCTACAACCACCTGTGCTTAATTATCTTCTGTGAGTCTGCTATGGAATTGCTGCTTCTGTTTCTTAGCCCTTCCTGATCTAGAATCAGGGACAAACTCCCTTTGATCTTCCCCACTGCTCCATGCCTCAGGCGCCTCCTGGTGGCCAATCAGCCTCTCTGGTCCCTGCTCTGAGTCTGAATCCTACACAGGATCCTCCACAACTTCCATGGCAGACCCATATGGTTCCTCACTATCCAAGTCCATCAGCAGCTCAACCGGATCCTGCTGGGCCACAACAGAAAACACAGCCAAGGGCCTGAGAATTATCTATATATATTCAATGACCAAAAAGATAAATGCTAAAGAATGCTCAAAGCATCTTTACATATCTCACATTATAGTCAGATTATACAGGAACAGATACATATAATCACTTCAGCAGCAAAATGGAATGATACAAAAAAGATTTGTATGGCCCCTGCACAAGGATGCAAATTTTTACAATGTTTCATACAAGTTACAATACAAGATACAGTATGACATATTAACAGAAGCCAGTACTGATTTGTCAAGAACAAATCTTGTCAAACTAGCATTCCATTCTATTCTATTTTACTTCTACTTCTGCGGCTGGGCAAACCTATCCATTCCCAAACAATAATAACTTATGTAATAGACTGTAGTAGACATAAATTTAAAAATACCTTATAAAACATTTGGCAAGGTACCCCATCACAGGCTGATCAACAAGCTATTTAAGTATGTGGCGGATACCAAGACAATTAACTTTGGAAATCATGTTTAAATGTGATTTCCCATGAGGCACAAAGAGCAGTGTCACAATCATGAGTCTTTAATCAAGCACCCAAACTGAAATAATAAAATGAAATCCTGCTGCCATTTTGGTGTCCTCCCACAAAGTGCCCAAAGAAGAAAACATGAGAAAATGATTTTGAAAACAGATCTGTGTAGAGTTAATAAAAATCCAGGAGAAAAAATCCTCTTATTGTTTTTATAAAAAGTTTTTTATTTTTGTTACATAATATGTTACATAAAAATTTTTTCTATTACTTTTCAATAGGTTATTTAAATATCTGTCCCCCAAATTTCTCTTTTCCATCTCCCATTATTCCTCTCTTTATTTTTGGCTAATTTCTTTTTCGGATATCATTTGCTCGTGCAATTTTTAACATTTCCAACTATTCCTCAAACATACCACCCTTTAAAACACTTTTAATATTTTTATATTTTACAATTATTTCAATCCCTCTTCTTATTTCCACTCTTTAATATCAGGTGCAGTCCTTTTCGAAAATTCTTTATTTTCTTCCAGTGTAAACAAAATGAAGCCAAATAGAAAAGACAGACCACATCTTCCTTCGACTGCTTTGTTTAAAAATTCTATTATGTTTCTTCTCTCCAGTACGTGGCTTTTGTTGTTCCTCTGTTTGATCAGGTCATTAATTTGTCAAAACTTGCCAAAAGTCAAACCAAAGGCTCAAAATCCATACACAAATTGTCCAAATATCCCCTTTAATAGTTTTGAATTTTTCTAGTTCCAGCTTTATTAATCAAGTTCTCCTTGGGCTTGGTATTTTTTCACCGATAGCCTTTTTCCTCCTTTCTTTCTGCCCTCCGTGTTTAGCCACTAGCTTAGCTCCAGAAAAAACTTTAAGCATCAAAATTAATTTATTTTAATGTTAATTTGGCCAATCTCCCTCCAGATCAAATACTCCATCTATTCCTCCATTCCTGCACCAGATGTGTTCTAGATGCCCCAGCTCCAGAACAATCATTTGAAGATGGCCACCCCCCCCACCCCCAATCTTTAGAGAGCTCTGAGTTGGACCTGTTGAAGATCTTGTCTAGCTCTCTGCAATTGCCCAAAATGCCTCTCCTTGCCCCATCCCTTCAGGACGGTTGCAGTCCACAAAGGACCTCTTGACAATGGGTGGCCGGCTCGGCAAAGCTCGCTATTTCCCTAGCTGTTCTCACCACTATACTTCTGGGTTCTTACCCTAAATCAGTGGTTCTCACCCTTCCCAATGCCGTGATCCTTTAATACAGTTCTCCATGTTGTGGTGACCACCAACCATAAAATTGGTGTCTTGGTTCCTAAGGCCATTGAAAATATGTGTTTTCCGATAGTTTAGGTGACCCCTGTGAAAGCATCGTTCGACCTCCAAAGGGGTCCCGATCCACAGGTTAAGAACCACTGCCCTAAATCCTCTTATTTCTTTTTTTAAAATATTTTTTATTTCTTTTTGAACAAGGACAAGCAAACATAAAAATAAAAAAACCCATCTTCCATTACAAATTGTAAAAAGTGTGTCAGTTGGTTACAGTATTTCCATGCATCTTTTCCATAGTCACCACCTGCTTTTCATATCAAATTGCATATTTTAAATTCACCTATATTCATGTATATCACAATTATTATATCGCAACCTTAATTTGACTATAATTGTTTTTACGTCCTTTTATATATAATATTCAAAATCTAGGATTATATGATAACATTCCATTAAATCATCTTAAAATCATCCAATCACAATACATCTTTATAACATATTCTAGATAAAGCTTTTAAACTTCCTCTCATTATTTCCATTTATTGTTTATACAAAATTTCATATTATCAAACTGATAGATCTATATGTATAATTATCATTATTAATCATTATTCAACTATAACTATTGTTGCTTCATTTTATACATACTACTAGTAAACTAAATTTAGCTGGATAACACACTAAATTTAATGGTTCAATGCAGATCATTCTCGCCGCCTACAGTCTTTTGTCTTCAATCTTAACTTAATTTTTTTCTTGGGTAGTCCCTTCCTCTAATAATAAAATTTCCTCACCAATTCGACACACTTTCTCTTTCCGCTTTCTTCCCATTCCGGAGTTGTCCCAACTTCAGTAGCTTCATTAGCTGCATTTCTGTCACCGGAAAAAAAAGGCTATTCCTGGATCTTTCAAGGACTTTGCGGTGTCCCTGAGATCAGCAGGAGGTGCCCTTCTCAATCACTGTCTCTGTGGGTTGGTTTAGGTCCAACTGGACCATCCAGCAGCAGAAATTTGACTGCAATCTCAGAGCACCAAGATCACATGTCGTGCCATTGTGACGTCTACAGCTGTTTTTTTTTCAGCTCAAAGTAAGATCCTCCCACTTAGAACAATATTTGAACTATCTATCTGGTTTTAATACAGGCAGAGTCCGTATCTGAGAACCTCATCTGCTTATTTAAATCCTAGCTTCATTTTTACAGGAGCTTCCTTCGTTAATTTGGTTATCTAAAAAAAAAGGCTCCTAAAATGGCGATTGTGTATTCTCCGTAACAACGCCACCTCCCTAATCTTTTTGCAAAGAACAGCNTCTCTCTCTCTCTCTCTCTCTCTTACAAGAAGGTTGATTTTAGTTGAATGTTTGGAGAAATTCCTTAGTTACCAGCTCAGATCCATAATAGAACAGATTGTTTGGAATGCATAATAATTTCTGCTGGAGGATCTCAAGTAGCCAATGAATTGTTTTCACAACACCAAAGTAGGCAATTGTAAGAGAAGTGTGTGACTTAAACATTGTCAAGGCAAAACAGAATCTGGCATACAAAGTATAATGCAGTGACTTCAAGATGCGCACCTCTTCTCAGTTACTTTATAGTTATATTTTAGCAGCAGTGCAGAAGTCATTTTGTCCTTCTGAGATGCTTGTTGATTTCTCAAATCTAATCTGCAATCCTGTTGATGGCCTGCCATTTAAATTCTGAATAGGTATTACTTCAGCTCAGCCTTTGTGGACTTCTACCCATGTCAAATTCCAATTTGTCATCTCAAGGTTTGCAGTAATTCCTTTTCCTATAGGAAGGAAGGAGCTGATTTTTGGGGCTGATATGACTTACTTAGCTGCCAAGAAAATAATATTGGCAACACACCCTTTTTCCCCTAGTTGCTCATCCCCTACTGCATGCAGCTTATCTGTCTTTGCCCCATTCAATCAAGGTCATTTTGAGAATCAGCTCCTTTGATTGTTGGGATTTCAACTATTTACTAAGCCAGCTAGCATGTAAGTAACAAGATACACACTGCTATTTATTTCACTTAGTGCCAACTCTTGGGTTATTCAGATGTAAGCTCATCAAATGTCCCAGTTGATCTTATTTGGGAAGAATGCCAAATGATTCTCCATCAGAAATAGGACTTGTCTATCTTTTCTGATCTGGGACCTAAACTTTTCTGCTGATTTTAAAAAGAAATATGCTATATAATCCTTAATGAATAAAAACCACTGATGCAATCCTTCAAAGAACTGTCAATCTAGTTAGGAGGCCTTCTCAAATTTAATAAGGGGAATGAGTGACAAGAGTTTCTGGTCCTGCTTAGCAGGATTGTGCACTGCTTTGAATTTGATGGAATAAAGGTGCTTTGGGGTACATAATGCATGCACATAATACCTACCTGTGGTTCACCGACAAAAGGGCGAACGACAAAACCGCGCCCGACTAAACCGTGGTGACAAAACCGCGTGTTCTAAAGCGCTCCGACGAATGAGCGCTGAATCGCGCCGACAACAGCGCGGCTACAGAAGCGCGCTGTAAAACTAAACCTAGCCCCACCCCTAAACCTAGCCCTAAACATAACTCTAACCCTAACCCTAAACGTAATGCTAACCCTAACCCTAAACGTAATGCTAAC